ATGCTGGTTGCCTTATGTGATGTTGGTTGCACTCTGTAATGTTGGTTGCGATCCGCCACTGTGACTAAACTCTGGGCGCTGAAGAAAGACATTAAACGTAAACAGTGATCAGCACGTGAACAGATGCCTCGAAAGCATCCACGGATATACTCCAGTCACTTTAGGTCTAAACATCCTCAGCAGTGTATTTCTAGTGAATCCACAGACCCTTTTTCGTGTCATCTTGAGACTAGAATAAGGATGACTGTTAAAATAAGTTACCTTGATCTTTCATGAGCTCCCAGTACAAAACATCATCGATATATTTTTGATGTAGGAACAACAAATTGGTTTAGAAAACATCCACTTTGAACCTAAATTGACTGGAGTAACATCGATCTACAGACAAATTCAAGGTCACTAGCAGTCGTCGGCGCTCTACGAATCTGCACAGGTTTGGACTTGTAAACGTGATTGTAGATGACACGACATGCATCTAACAGTTAATTCACGCACAGGATTGCATTGCATACGCATTACGCATTCAGTAGCGTATACTCGTTTTTCGCGAGTGGAACGTTTTGTTTATATATTGCCTAAGATACGATGTCTGACACAGATACAGCCGACGAAGTGGTTGACATCAGCGCAACCCCACCCAAAAAAAGGGCTAAGAAGCTACATTTAAGTGCAAATGAAAAACAAATAATATTAAATATATACAAAAACCAAATTCAAGAAAAACCCGATTTGGTCGTGGACGAAGTTATATGTAAGGTAGCACATATTTCTGGAGTATGTCGGTCCAGTGTTTATAGGATCATTAAGGAATATAGGAGCACTCACTCACTTTCTGAGCCAAAACCGTATCCTGCAAGAAAAAGGATAACGGACGGAGTAGATGACTTTGACAGAACTGCCATCAGGAGGAAAGTGCATAATTTTTTCTTCCGAAATGAGATACCTACAGTAGATAAGATATTAAGATTAGTTAATGCTGATGAGGATCTTCCATCATTTAAAAGAACCACATTCCGAAAACTTTGAAGGAACTTAATTTTCGATTCTTGAAACGGGGAAGAAACAGTATGTTAATAGAGAAAGAAGAAATTGTTGTGTGGAGAAGGGAATACCTTAGGAAGATTCGGAAGTTTCGCGATGAAAAAAGAAAAATTTACTATTTGGACGAAACGTGGGTGAATGCTGGACATACTCAAGCGAAAGTTTGGGTCGACAAATCAGTAACATCATCAAGGCAGGCTTTTCTAGACGGTCTTTCGGCTGGATTGAAAAATCCTGCAGGTAAGCTCCTTCATCTATCCGGCAATTTAATTTTGATAAATTCGGGTAAATAATATGCTGTGATAGCAGATAATGTGTGATATTCTCCAAAAATGGTGCATTCGCAGTGTAGTCATTAGGAAAAAACTTCGACCCTCTTTTAAGCGTTATTTTGAAATTTATTATCATTTTTGGGTGCAGTCAATTTGCTTTGAATGGGTTTTGAGAAGTTGCAAACTTCAATTTTCTACGTTTTTCAGTTTTTGATCAGCATTCCGTGACTCTTAAATTCAGCTAAATGAACTCAATTGCCTCATTCCTTCAAATTTAATCAATCCATAGTGTAAGGAATAATTTATTTCCAGGAAAAGGCAAACGGCTGATCATTTGTCACGTAGGTAGTGAAGACGGCTTTGTTCCCGAAGCACTGTGGGCCTTTGAATAAAAAAAGACAGGGACTATCATGAGGAGATGGACGGCAATTCCTTTGAAAATTGGTTCTCCAAAATGTTACTAAAGCTGGAGAATAACGCTGTTATTGTACTGGATAATGCCCCGTACCATTCTAGAAAAATAGAAAAAATTCCCACAATGGCAACTAAAAAAGCAAACATACAACAATGGCTGGCCTCAAAACAGATCGATTTTGATGAAACAATTGTCAAGGGTGAATTGATAAGTATAGTCAATAGACATAAATACAAATACGATTTTAAAATGATCGACGAAATGGCCAAAAAACTAAAATAAAACTGTCTTGAGACTGCCACCCTACCATTGTGAGCTGAACCCTATTGAGCTAATTTGGGCCAACATAAAGCAATACGTGGCGTCGAATAATAATACTTATAAATTTTCTGATGTTAAAAATCTCTTTCACATCGCAGTCAATAGAGTTACGGCAGAGGAATGGAAAAACTGTATCCGCCACGTTCGGGAGAAGGTTGAGGTCAAAATGTGGGATTTGGACAATGTCATCGATACCCAAATTGAACCTCTAATAATTCATTTAAAACGATTCAGAAGATTCAAGTTCCTCTTCTGAATGAGTGCGCGCAGCTTACTTACTAATAACTAAAAAGTGTAGTTAACTCATTTGTGAATCTCTAACTGAAAATTTACTGTAAAGATAATAATTATCTTGTATGAAATTTTCGATGACTACCCATAATATCTTGATGCGGTCCTGTAATGTCTCCTGCGCCTAAACACTCACTCACGAGCAATATGCGTGTATTTGTTTGGGTTTAGTTTTCTTTCTTCAGCGCCTAGAGTATAGCTCTAGCATTTACAAAACATGCTCTGTAATATTGGTTGCAGTCCGCCACTGTGACTAGCTCTAGCATTTACAAAAACACATTATCTGTAATGCTGGTTTGCGCTCTGCTAATGTTGGTTGCAGGTCCGCCACTGTGACTAGCTCTAGCATTTACAAAACATATCTCTGTAATGCTGGTTGCCTTCTGTGGATGTTGGTTGCGCTCTGTAATGTTGGTTGCGGTCCGCCACTGTCACCAGCTCTAGCATTTACAAACATACTCTGTAATGCTGGTTGCGCTCTGTAATGTTGGTTGCAGTCCGCCACTGTGACTAGCTCTAGCATTTACAAAACACATTATCTGTAATGCCGGTTGCGCTCTGCAATGTTGGTGGCGGTCCGCCACTGTCACTAGCACTAGCATTTACAAAACATACTCTCTGTAATGCTGGTTGCCTTCTGGTGATTTGGTTACGCTCTGTAATGTTGGTTGCGGTCCGCCACTGTCACTAGCTCTAGCGTTTACAAAAACATACGCTTTGTTATGTTGGTTGCAGTAAGGCATCAAGACTCTGGTTTGATTCAGTGGATATCAGGATATAATATCACTGACGTCTGACCATTCTTATAATCCGCTTTTTTGTGTCGCTAAAAAACGACTAATAAAAAACCTCCAGCTCTGGCAGCTTGTTTCTAGGTAAATCAGTTGTTATATGTATTCTGAATCGATGTCAAATCAGTTCTAGGATTCACTACCAATTTTTCATCCCAAATCGGATCCGAGGAAACTGTAGAATTTTTCACTATGTCGGGACCAAAAATGAAACATCATACACAGGATCGTATTTTCAGGAGGTCTTCTATGTTCTATGTAAGATTTTTTCCTCGGGGTTTAAAAGTTTAAAAAGAAAAAACATTTTTTTCATATATCTTCAAACCGTCAACTGAAAGTATTGTCCACATTAAAAGTCTTTATAACATTAACGTCCACCAGTGGCGGAGAGATAGGGGATTAGTAAAATATGTTTCTAAAAAAATAGTGCGCCACTGTTTTACCTTCAATTTATACAAATAATTATGTGTTTTTCCCGAGTACCACTGTTTCGTAAAAATAAAAATA